TACATACTACGTGTTTCACTTCAACCAGCTCATATACTGGTGAAACGGTGTGGTCTAGAGTCGCTTTATCTCTCTGTTAGCCCTTGATTTGATTTTATTCTATTTGTCTTTGGTCTCTTTTGGTTAGACTAGGTTAGTTGTGTGTGACCTGAAGCCATAATACCATCTAGGCATGCTAGTCACTGGTAGCAAAATATTCTGTCAAAGAATGATTAATAATAATAATTATTAAATACACAAGAGTGCTCAGTATTATAGACAAATAAAACATATAACACTGGATTAAAGGCTCAACATTTTATTGCAATAAAGAATGCTAAAGAACTTACATAATAAAAATGAGGTATATTTTGTTTTTCAGATTCAGATATGGACTATGACGATGACGAAAATGACGATGACATGCCGCCCCCACCAGTAAGCTTCGATGATGACGAAGTGTTCGGCGAAGACAGTTTCCCACCTCCACCACCACATAGCCTTCCACCTCCATTAAGTGACGAGGAAACGGATAGCACACCCGTGCAGGTTCCACCAATGTCGGTTGTGACAACAATTTATTAGTTAAGTTTTTTTTTTAAGAACACATGAAAATACTGTACTTCCAATAGGATCAACAACTAACGAAATCTTTAATGTTTTAATAGGCATCCAGTACATGACAGAAGAAGTGTACAGTAATTATAAATATTAAGCCTACGATTAATTGTGACAATCACGAATATCCGCAAAGGATTATATTTTTGTTTTGCACAAACACTTTTGGCGATGCCCCTTGCCAAGAGGAGAAATATGTCAAGTTGGTATAAAAACAAAAATTTACTTACAAAAAATTAACTGGATTAACCAAAAGAAAAATTCCAAAATATTCTATTGAATCCAGAATGAATTTATTTCCGCTGAAATATATCGCTATTTTGATTATTTGGCTAATTATCATTTTCAAAAATAATACTGCATTCCGAAAAAAATAAATAAAATAAAATCACTTCCCTTATTAATATTCTCGCATGTTAGCATACCATTGTATATTGTATATAGGCTTATCATGTAAGACTTCAAAATATGTTATTATTTACAATACTGACGTCATTTTGAAAGAGAAATAATAAAACAAGATTGTAGGCCTAAAATTTTATGAAGCTACAGTACTCGCAATGACGTATTTACTCTATGGATTAAATGAGGGGGAAAGCAAATGGAACCCGGTCATTAAATATTATGCTTAAATAGGCAATTACCCATTAAAACCAACTCAACTACGATAGGTAGTTATAGTTTCAGAAGTACGAATCAGGTTATCGGCCTAACTCTTGAATAGAAATAAAATAATGTTATGTGAAATTGGTGTAGGCAGAATAACATTCTCCTGAAGCGACGAGTTATTTTTCTTTCATGAAATTAACATTCTTGGAACCATAATTTAGTATTTTCTCGACGGCACTGCATGAAAATGTTACAGTAAAATATTTGGCACTAAGTCGCAAAATGACTGCCAACCGCTCCTCTATCAGTAACTCCGACACCAATCTAGTATTTCTGAATTAATAAAAAAAAAAATATGCCTAGTACAAATTGACTACTGTACAAAAAGTATTTATTGTTAATTTGTGTTTGCACTGGTCATTTACATTTTTCACAGATTGGCAGATAGATAAATAACTATTGTGAAGAATGTTACAAAGGTAATAATACGGGCCGTATTTGTGAAGCTTGATTGAAGAGAACATTAAAAATAATTGACACCGTACAATGAAACTGAAAACAAACGCCTATTTTGACAGTTTTAAAGTCAAAGAAGCTACATTATTTTATATTACTGAAATAAATAATTGACTGAAATAAATAATTGATCAAAAATAAATTTAGAAGCTTTACTTGTTATAAACAGGAACAAGTTAATATTGCCTCATGTTAATAGTGAAAACGTTTACGGAGTGTCAATTAACTGAAAAACTAACAATCAACAAGCGCACGTGTTGTTCCACAAACGCAAGTGTTCGTGTATTTTTTAACCAAGTTTAACACTGTCAACTTTTAGAAGCTCATGGGAATGGTCCCGTTAAAGCATCCTTTCTAGATTCAATGGCAGAAAAGAGGAGTGTTTCATGGTGGTAATAACACCAAAGACAATACACTAAGTCCGAAGAACCTGCTTCCAGTGTGGTCTTTCTGATAATGAATTGGGCAGTACACCAGGAGACTACTCTCTACTCTCTATTCCGAAGAGTGTACTATGTTGTTTAACATGCGCATGAGCAATATATTGCATACAGGACCAACAGCTTAATTCTCTCATCCGAAAGATGGCGCACTATTGAAACTATTGACTTTAAGTCCTCCAGAAACACAAGAGCAGCAGCGATCGGAATTGAACCGAGGACCAAAGGATCTCTATGCTTCAGTGCACACGCAGTGGCTACCACCATTTCAGCAGACCAAGCTTAGTTGCTCCCTTATTACACTAAACAATACAGTTTCAGAAATCAATATCAAGTGGCAATGCAGTAAAAGAAATCACAATCTTTATTTTTATTACTCTTTCTACAGTATACAGATATATTTTTATTATAATGAAAAATAATTATGTTTAATATCAATAAAGGATTAGGGCCCATAATATAACAGCTGTATTGGTAGTATTTTATTAACAACAATAACGGTAATACTCATATAGTAGCAGTTATTTATATTATGATTATTAATATTACCAAATGTAATGCCATACCATTTTCATAAATTAAAAAGAAAATATTTATAAATACACCCATAAACTCAATTTTACTGGAAAAGATACTCTTCTTACTTCAGTCTAAAAGGACCATCCCTGCTTCTGAACACTGTTCTTTTAAACCAACCATTTTCAAGTAAAGTGTCCCACTAGGCACCTAGTTGAGGGATGCTGCAGAGTTGAGAATTGACACCCATCTCAATCCCATCATGATTTTAAGCACACAGCATAAGATCCATAGAGATAGAAATCCATAACATTATAAATTCTTTTTAGTGCATTTTAATTTTAAATGTAGGAGTACAAATTTAGTCATCAAAAATCCCCCACCCCGAAAAATAGAAGAGAAAATCAATCCCTTACATGGGATATATATAATAATAATAATAATAATAATAATAATAATAATAATTTTGTCTATAAACTGAGATTTATATGTAAAATAAATTTTTATTTTTTGTAATAAAAATATGAATTTAAAAATACAATGTCATATATCTTTGTCTTAATAATTTGTATCCACAAGACAATAATAATAAGTAGAATTTGTAAAGGGCATAAAACAGATGTCTTAGCATATGCAATTCAGCACAACGATGCTGCGAGTTATTAGTTATTCTCCTGCCTTTACCCTTTACCTTCAATATTCCATCATAGTGAAATTAACAGGACTTCACATGCATTTGTTTTCTACCGAGACAATTCACACAACAATTTAATCAATTACTTCTTAAATTTCTGATATTTTATTGTCAAATTTTGACAACCTGTTTTTGGACTGCCGTCTCCGACTGTTTTTGCACAACTAATGCCGTCATCATATTGATGATTTTGCAACTATAATGACCCCATGTACAACAGACTCATTAGGTTTAAGGTTGATCTGTATATCAGGGTTGAGAACCAGTGGCCTTGAGCATATAATAATAATCATAATAATAATAGTAGACTTATATAGCACATATTGTTAAGCCCTCTATGCAATTCAAATTAACATTACCCTGGTCATATGTTTATATCAATAACACTGCTTACCTATGAAATAAAACCAGCTGATTTTATTGATGAGTTTCACATTTCAGTCATGTCACTGATATTATTAGGTAACCAAAATGGCATCCTTGTCTTCAAAAATATTGAAACTAGAATTAAATACATGTCGCACAGTACATGTATGTTTACCGTATTTGAGGGAATGGAGTCACTCTTGCAGAATCAATTGTAGTAATTTTGAAAATGGGTAACAGGCGAATGTACCCCATTTCTCCCTAGGACTGTCAGAGATTAATCCATCCATTAATCCACAAATCAAATCACAGAACCTCATAATAAAGCTCGCACATATTCATATAATATTTATTATAAATTTCGAACCTATGCTATTTTCTATTATCAATAAAAAGCATCAAAACAAACCAGTATTTTTCAAAAATACTTAGTAAACTGCTTGTCTAAATATGCACTGTACAGTAGCAGTCCGGAAAGTTCACAAGAAAATATAGGCGAAGCCCACATTCATTTGGATGCCTTTTGAAAAGTTAAATATCCTGAGCTCTGTATCCCTTTATATTGGCAGTGATGCATTACTGGTGGCAACTGGCATCTAATCATTGCTCATTTTGCTAATCATCTTCTTTATATTTTTCCTATACAAGCAAACCAACAGCTCTGAAGAATTTTTGGAAAGATTAATCCTTCCTCATTGTTACCACACACGAAACTGCCTTACTGTATTTATCATAAATTTTACCACAAACAGCGCCACCTAGTGGCAATATCACAGGTTTTGCCAATCGATGTGAAGTAGATTACTATTGGCCTCTAGCTTATGAGCTACTTCAGCCGGTATGCCATGTTGTAGCCACAGAATATAGAGTTTATGGTACAAGTCCTTGCAAAGTCGTAGTGGGTTTCCCCTCCTGCAGAAAAAAAAAAGTGTATACAAGTTAAAGAACAATAGCAAGACAAATAACATGCATATAAGGGGGTGAGACTTGACCTCCAACATCACCCAAAACTATTCTAATCAGCAAAATTCACCCAATTTTCTAAATGCATTTCTCCTTTTATATATTTCATCAATTCACCACCCAAACTCAAATGATAATAGCATCGTCAATATATTTGAAAAAAGAGGTTTTGAATATTTATTAATATAAATAAACAAATTAAAGAACAATACCAAGACGTATAACATGCATATAAGGGGGTGAGACTTGACCTCCAATATCACCCAAAACTATTCTAATTGGAAAAATTTACCCAATTTTCTAAATGCATTTCTCCATTTTGCATATTTGATCAAATCACTACCCTCAACTCAAAGGATAAGAGCATCGTCAGTATATTTGAAAGAATAGGTTTTGAATATCATTAATTAATTAAAAGAATATCGTTATAACTCAAGATGTAAAAAAAATTATATAAATGCAGTATTACAAAAGAATAACAATAAATATCAATAAAAGCAATACAAGGATCATAATAATAAAAAAAAAAACTGAAATAAAAATTACATAAGATAAATAATAGTATACTTAAATTGAAACTGCAATGAAAAATATCAGTATAGTCTATTGAGACAAGCTTACACATATTTAGACAGTAAATAATAAATAACAATAGATAAGCAAGCAGAGAGTGAGGCATTAAATCCAAGTAGGGAAGAAGAGGATTAAGTATGTATAATGAGGCAACATACCTCAAGCCTACATCTGATTCACCATAGTCATCAAGATATGGCGGTGAATGGAAGCAGCCCCTCGTCTTGGAGGATACTAACAGCAACTGGCATTCTCTTACTCTGAGATTTTAAAATAATAAGAAAAGAATATAAATAGGGAAAATGATAAGTTAATTAAAATAATGTCGTGTGCAATTTCACATCTAGATTAAAATATTAAAATTTTAAAATATTATATTTTAACATGAAACAATTTATTTTACCTTTCATTTCTTATGTATATTATTCTGTTGCTATTGTGTTTTTCTTTTTTTGTTGTATTTTTGTTGTGTGTTGAATTGAAGACTAAATAAATGATATGATATGGTATTTAATTTTTCATGAGTTGACTTGATGAATAAATAATTAAATACATGTATAAATAAATGACTAAGCGAATAAATGAACAAACGAATGAAGTAACATACAGGACTAGAAAGTCCTTTTGTCGTTTGTCTATTGTAATTTGCATAAAAAGGCTATTTACAAACTCAATCAATTGATTTTAATTGACTGACTGACTGACTACTGCACTGACCTGAGGTACATTCCAACACCAGAACTGCACTGCAAAGCATGTGCCATACAGGCTCCGATTGTGTCCTCCTCAACTTCAGTCTGACAGCAGTAACTTTGCGAGCACACAACCTGACCACACACCAAACACATGGCCGGTGCACGACTTTCACCCTGGATCCCACTCGACTTTGGACAGCTGTCAAATTATAAAAGTCAAATAAAAAACACTGAAGCATGATTCTCACAAGAGACCTAGTATCCGGATCGGGAGCTAACCGTTAGCACCTGTGTGAAAACGTCCGATCGGTTAGCAAGCGTTATCGGTTAGCAAGCGAGCGCATTTCTATCATCAACCAATCACACGTACACGTTTACAATTTCCAGTTTCTTATTGGCCAGTGATTCGATCATCATATTCTTGGTATCCGGATCGGGATTTTCTCGTATGGACGCACGGCAGCTACTGTTAGCTGCCGTGTGAGAACATAGCCTCAAATTTGGAAGAACATTTAACTCTGTCATGCTTAGAGACTATACTGTACATGTGCAATTAAACTGAGAAGCATGGAACAAGAATATTACAAGACTTACACAAAGGATGCAACTTGATTCATGAGGTCACTGTAGTCATAAGGTAACGATATTAACTTATTATGTTGCACAGGATATCTGTAAAAGTACCAGAAATAGTGATTGAAAATAATGATATTTATATAACATAAAGGTCTGTACAAATGAATATTATCTATTTTTTTAGGAATATAATTGAACATTAGAATATAATATTTTAAAATGAAATATATATCTACAAAATAATATGTATACCACTTAAAATAATCCTGCAAATATACAAAATTTGGCTGCTATAATGTAACATGGCAAAATGACCACAACAGTTGACTAGTATGTTTTACTAGATATTACCACAGACAACAGATATTGATTTTCCTTTTTTCAACTTTGCTACGAACAATCTGATAGGCTAGCACGACTTACTTTTAAAGTTAATTATATTTTAAGAGTTGATCAATACAGTAAACTCCTATTAAGGGGACACCTTCAGCACCTTAAAAGGTGTTTCTAATAGGGGTGTCCCAAAGGAGGAGTTCTGCTGTATAAGAAGGCAGAATACTCTACCTAACAAGTAATGTCTCCATATGATTTAACCTCTCTTGAGTTACTAGATGGGAACACCAGATCTGAAGAAATGTGTGGACCCCAGGAATAAGCTGAGAGTCAAACAAACTTGCAAGATTTGCTGGTACTGCTAAGTAACGGCACAACACTCCAAATTCATCAAAGACTATGTCTAAAAAAGTAAACAAATTATTGGTTAGCTTTAAAGGGCATAGAGGTACATTAATAACCCCTGTCCAGAATATCACATTTTTATTAGACAAAGAAACTGTTGCATACCCATATATAGTCATGTGTGCCTATATATGGTCATGATGTGATGTCATCATGACCATATTTAGGCATGTCACATGGTTTTTTTCAACTAAAATTTGAAAGTCTGGACACGAATATAGAATCAACAGATAATGTTTGATCAGATTTGATAGTGTATAATTATTTCAGAAATACTTGATCAAACTAATCATGAATCTTTCCAAGTTTGATGAAAGTTGGTCTAAGTCCCTTTTCAGGACCCTGACCAAGTCCTTGTCTGAGTGCCTGTCTATGTTCTTTTCCAGATCAATGACGAGGTCACTGTCCACGTCCCTGTTCAAGTCCCTGTGCTGGTCACTTCCAGGATCCTTTGTAGGTCACTGACCAGGTCCCTGTCCCCGTTTCTGTCCACAATGACTATTATTGTATCAATGGTTGTGTGGTATGAAAAGGTCATGATTTGTTAAATGTAACAATAATATATTTCAACAAATTTCATTTCTAAATATATATTTGTACAATTTCCTACTTCTTAACTCTGCAGGAAATGGAACACCAGCGAGTGAGTTGAAGAATAGAGCTGAGCAGCGTAGAAATTGTAGGCACGACGTAGTCACATGGCTCCAGAGATCAAAGGCTGATGGAACGTTTCTTTTCACACTAAAAAAATGGGAATGAATATGTAAATATATGTATAAATTACACTCATCAATTAATTTTATACTAAATAAATGTTACTATTAACATTATAGAAAATATTGATGTAACAGTAATACAGTAGCCACAATGACAAACAGATAGGTAAATGAAAGCATATTTGTATGTATGTAGTTCTCTTCAGTTACAGCTCAGTGCAATAACAGCTAAAAACTAAATTTGTCATAATTATGTCAGATTTACTTTAAGAGTCTGAGATAAAAACTAGGAAAAAAAACAATGAAAGTTCATTTAGAATACTTAGTTAGGGAACCAAGTTTCCTAATTGATCAAATTCTTACCCTGCCATTATGTAAAGGTCTCTTAAAACTTTCTGAAGACAGTTGGCTTCTCTGCAGTACATATCATCCATATCTTCAGTAACTGGACTTCCAGCATCTGCAAAAATAGTAAATCATTATAAATTACTTAAGGAGTTAATAAAAATTGAAAGTAATTCACCTTCAGTCTATAATCCTAGATACTGTGAATTATTTGGTGTTCAAATTTGAATTGCAATAATAAAACAATAATGGCAATAGTCAGATTAACCAGGTAAGTATTCATAAAATAGACAGAATAGAGAGAGGAGATTTGTTCCTACCTTCTGGTAAATCACATGTCAATAAGATCTGTGTTACATGTGCCAACAGGGCTAGAGTCATGATGTGTTTGTTTGTGATAGGATCTGCGCATAAGTTTGCACTCCATAACTCATCTTTGCCACCGGCCTCTTTAAGTACAGGCATTGAGAAACATACGCTGACCAGCAGGGTAAACATATCAACATCAAGAATACTACAGCCACTGGTTTCCACAGAGATTGGGATTAACACTAAAGAATAATAATAATAAATAACATTTTTTAGCACAAAAGACTGTTAGTTTTGAGGCACTTTGAATTCCCAGTACTGTAAACAATCATAAGAAAAGATGCATTTTGAGTTTTTTTTTGAATATGCAGACAGATGTTGATGCGTGGATTTCCTATGGAAGACTGTTCCAGATTTTTGGAGCTGCAACAGAAAAAGCCCTGTCCCCATATGAAGATGTTTTGATGCGTGTTCCAGGTTCCAGTAGGAGTTGGTAAGATGAACAGAGAGCTGAGTTGGTAGAGAGTGAGATGAGTTCATAAATATATAAATATTACTCACGCCTCCCAGTCTCCCCCAACCCCAATAATCAGTCAAGTAGTTAAAAATAACCAAAAATCACCTTATTTTGCAAATTAGCGCCCCTCAACTGATCATCAAGCCCCCCTCAAC